GGTTGCTTAATGGGCTTATCGTCCGTGGAGAATATGATCAATAGACTTCGTTACCGGCAGAGAATAGTATCGGCATGAATCCGGGACATGTAGCCTCCAAAATCAAAAGAAAATGACATTTCGGAAAAATCGCCGGAAATCTATGATGGTACCTCTTTGGAATATGCCAAAAATGGACCCTGATTAAATTCTCCCAAATCGGTGCTTAATGGACTTAATCATCGTTGAAGAATCGGCTCAGGACGAATCCGTGTTCTGTAGCCATAAAAATCCAAAGAAAATGGCCTTTCGTCTCCCAAATAATTACAAAAATGTCATTCGAAAATGAATTTGCCCAAATCGATGCTTAATAGACTTATCCTCCGTCGAGAATAGGATCAATAGACTTCATTATCGGCGGAAAATAGCTCGGGCTGAATTTGTGATATGTAGCCTCCATAATTGAAAGAAAATGGCATTTCAGAAAAAATGCCCGAAATCTGTGTTGGTACCCCCTTTGGAATATGCCAAAAATTGACCCGGAATAAATCCGCCCAAATTGGTGCTTAATGGACTTAATCGTCGTTGAAGAATTGGCCCAGGTTGATCTGTAGCCATCAAAATCCAAAGAAAATGGTCGTTCGTCGCCCAAAATATTATGAAAATGTCATCCAAAAATGAATTGGCCCAAATCGTTGCTTAATGGACTTATCATCCGTGGAGAATAGGACGAATAGACTTTATTATCGACGAATAATAGATCGGCCTGAATCCGTGATTTGTAGCCTCCAGAATCGAAAGAAAATGACATTTCAAAAAAATAGCCCGAAATATGGGATGGTACCCCTTTGGAATATGCCAAAAATTGACCCGGAATAAATCCTCCCAAATTAGTGTTTAATGGACTTAATCATCGCTTAAGAATAGCCTCAGGACAAATTCGTGATCTGCAACCTTCAAAATCCAATGAAAATGACCTTTCGTCGTCCAAAAATTTACGAAAATGTCTTCCTAAAATAAATGGGCTCAAATCAGTGCTTAATGGACTTATCATTCGTGGAGAATAGGATCAATAGACTTCATTATCGGTGGAGAATAGCCTCGGCCTGAATCTGTGTTATGTAGCCTCCAGAATCGAAAGAAAATGGCATTTCGTAAAAATCGCCCGAAATCTGTGATGGTACCCCCTTTGGAATCTGTCAAAAATTGACCCGGAATAAACCCGCTCAAATCGTTGCTTAATGGACTTAATCATCGTTGAAAAATAGTCTCACGCACGAATCCGCGATATGTAGCCATCAAAATTCATAGAAAATGGCCTTTTGTCTCCCCAAAAATTACGCAAATGCGATCCGAAAATGAAATGGCCCTAATGGGCAATGGCTGCTTAATGGGCTTATCGTCCGTGGAGAATAGGATCAATAGACTTCATTACTGGCGAAGAATAGTGTCGGCTTGAATCCGGGATATGTAGCCTCCATAATCGAAAGAAAATGACATTTCGGAAAAATCGCTCGAAATCTGTGATGGTGACCCTTTGGAATATGCCAAAAATTGACCCGGAATAAATCCACCCAAATCGATGCTTAATGGACTTAATCATCATTGAAGAATAGGCTCAGGCCAAATCCTTGATCTGTAGCCATCAAAATCCAAAGAAAATGCCCTTTCGTCGACCAAAAATTATGAAAATGTCATCCGAAAATAAATTGGCCTAAATCGGTGCTTAATTGACTTATCATCAGTGGAGAATAGGATCAATAGACTTCATTATCGGCGGAGAATAGCTCGGCCTGAATCCGTGATTTGCCGCTTCCAAAATCGAAAGAAAATGACATTTCGGAAAAATCGCCTGAAATCTGTGATGGTACCCCTTTGGAATATGCCAAAAATTCACCCGGAATAAATTCGCTCAAATCGGTGCTTAATGGACTTAATTATCGTTGAAAAATAGGCTCAGGCCGAATCCGTGATCTGTAGCCATCAAAATCTCAAGAAAATGGCCTTTCGTTGCCAAAAAAAATTAAGAAAATGTCATCCGAAAATGAATTGGCCCAAATCGCTACTTAACGGACTTATCATCCGTGGAGAATAGGACAAATAGATGGAAATCGTGGTGGGTGTGGTTACCCGCCCCGCATTTTGCGGGCAACCACACTCACAAATATAGAATTATGCTACCCATAACCCGCCCCGCGGTGGGTAGTGGTTAACCACTATCCGCTGTGGGTTGGTGCGGGTTGGTTGTGAATACCCACAAAAGTTTTATTATTAGTGAAGGTTTACTTAAAAGAAAGTTAATAAAGTGTTAAATAAATTATAAATCTCGAATACAGGAGGTTAGTTAGTGTAAATTCAGAAGAGATGGATTTGGAAATAGATTTGAAGATAACGGAGAGGCGGAGTGACCTGTTACCAGACAAACATCGTTGCATGTCACGACTCCTCCAATGGCAACAACAACAAAACACAAAAGTGGTTCGATAAGTGGAGGCACCCACTTTTAATGAATCGTTTATTCTCCACTCTCCATTATAATCTTGTATTGTTGGTAGCTAGTTGCATGTTGTGTTGTTCGTGAGTTCGTGGAGAAATGGAGACGAGTTTGGGTATCGAACTAACCTTTATTGATTATTCTCCTCTTCTAACGAATCGATTAATTTATCTGACTATATCTATGGACTTGGTTTTGTTATAAAATAAACATATACCACACGGACAATGCTTATTTGATAAAAGTATCTCACAAGAACATTGCGTATTGAGTTGGTTTAGTTTTATTGAATAAGTACGTATTTTATTTTAGTAGCTACCTTAATTCTTAGTCTTCCAAGTTTCACAAACTAATATAACTAATGTGGTTAATGCGGGTTTTGAGGATAAAATGTTGTGTGTAGTGATTAACCACTAACCACAAAAATAAATATTTTGCTACCCACTGGCCACTACCACAAATTGTGGATATGGGATAAATATTTTGCTACCCACCCCTACTAAATATAACATAAAGATAGGAATAATCATTAGAAAATTGATAACCATTAAGCATACTTTAATGCATAATCTTGTCAATCATCTAATTTGTGAACAAGAAACATTTTTTTGATAGTCATTATATGTTTTAAGTGGCGTAAAATTTATGAAAATATTTTTAATCTAGTGAATTACGATTGATTTTAATTATAATATGAAAATTTTATGGAACTTATTAGATTTTGAACAATAAATAATTATAATTTGGTGGTTGACTCATACATAAACATCCATGTTTAAGTATTTATATATAAACACTAAGCCACTAACTTCTATAAATATTTGTAGCACCATAAATAAATTAATTAAATCAAATTAGCATAGCTAAATAATTGAAGCTGTGAGACCATTATTTTGCTTTAGATGATTTCCATATAACAATAACTGGCAACAAAAACAATAAGACCATCTCCATCCCTGCAATAGGATAGCAATTTCATAAGTGGACCCTACAGCCACATTAGCAATTTTAGCAATTATTCACTTCAATCATTTCAAACCACCTGCATCCCTGCAATAGGTTAGCAATTGCAATTGATGGGACCTACTACATCAAGTTTAACAATTTGTTTGTTCAAAGTGGGTAGAAAAGAAAGAGAGAAAAAAAAAAAGAAAGATTTTGAGTGCATAAATGTGGGGTCCAATTGTCTATGTGGCATTGCAAGAAGGATTGCTTATTTAGCAATCTTGCTAAATAAGCAATAAGTCCCACATCCTTGCAATTGCTTAAAGCAATTGCCACATGGGATTCCACCCAATAAGCAATTGCAATAAGCAATTGATGGAGATGGTCTAAAGTAAACAAAGTAAAAACAATAAAGACTAAGATAACCGACAATAAAGTAAGTAACTTTATATAGATAGTAGAATTAGGGTAAAATACCTCCGGTACCACTAAAGTTTGAGAATTGGGGCAGACATACCATTTAAGTTTGAATAGGGCGTCGGGTACTACTGAACTCTATTATTTGTGCACCCGGTACCACTTAAGTTTAATGTTAAGTGCATTCCGTTAAGGTTAACAGAATATTCTTGGAATATTCTGTTTTCTAAATTTCTTAATTGGTCATTCTACTTTTCTTATTGTAAAAAATCATTTTTGACTTATGAAAAACATCAATTTTTATTATTTAATTGGTATCCTCTTTTGAAAACTTGATACCAAATTTATTTTTGAATAGAAAATTTAAAATCAATTATTATTATAAGTATTTTCAATTATTATTATGTTTTCTAATAATTGAATTATTCTCTCTTTTTTTTGAAGATTTTGATACCAAACCAATTTTTGAATAGGAAATGTAGAATCAATTATCATTATAAGTACTTTAAATTACCATTATGTGTTATAATAGTCGAATAATTTGCTTAAGCAAATGTATCCTATGAATTCTATATCGATATAAATAATATGAGGATGTTATATCTAATTCTCGTACATCATCTGGATGTTGTATAATTTTCTTAGTTACTTTCGTTCTATTTTCGTTCTAAATTTTCTTCAATTACTGTAATATGTTTAATTCTTTCTAACTATGTTCCATTTATCATTCTTTGGTCTTGATGTATTGATGATCGATTAGATTCTATTTTAACTATTTTTAATAGTACTTCTTATCGGATTAGTGATTTAAATAGATCTTCTAATATTGATTTTAAATATTTATTCTTATATTCTATATATTTATTCTTCTTCTTGATATTTGTTTATTATTTTTACTATCTTATCTATTTTATTGAAAATTTTGATTAGTCATTTTAGTAATATTATGTTTAGAAGGTTTTTTAATTTCTATATTAGATAAAAACTTGTTGAAATATAATTTTGGATGTTTTTAAAAGTTTTGGGTACCAAAAAGTAATTAAAATTTTGGGTTGGATGGAAAACTAGACGGATGCACATTTTGGTGACTTTAATGGTACCCGACGCCCTATTTCCAATTCTCAAACTTTAGTGGTACCGGAGGTATTTTACCCGTAGACCGGGACGACGACGTTGAGCCTACATGTCTCGTTCTGCCAGCGAGGAGCGCTGCGCGCTTCCTTGTGAGTTGTGAAACTCCGGTCTCCTCTCCTTTGCTTCCGATCTGGAACTGGGCTGAGCTTTACCTCTGTAGCGCCAATGGCTGCTGCTCCGCAATCGCAGCTTTTCTTTGTCTCCTTCTCAAGTAGCTAACTACTGAACAGCTTTCAACACCAAAACACATACGAAGAAGTGAAGGATCCAGGTTCCGGCGCGGGGAAAGAAAACAACAATGCGACCTCAGAAGTCTATCAGTAGATTGCCGCCGGTGCTTCATCTGGGCTGCATCGCGGCGTTCTTCTTCTTCGTCTTCTTCTTCTTCATTCAATCATCTTCTTTCTTCTCAGGTTACTCCTCTCCCCCTTTCGTCTTCCGATTCCGCTCTTGTTGTTTGTCTTCTTATAATTCAATCCTAAGTTGCCAGTTCCACTTTCCCTATTCCAAATCCCTAATGAGTCCAATGGTTTTCTCGCTTCAGGTAGTAAGAAATCAGATCCCAACACAGAAGGGGACAAGCGGACACTTTCTCAGTTTCAGTCCGCCGTTCAGCAATGCGTGGTTAGTGAATTTCACTTTTTTTCATGTTCTTGAACTGTTTCCAATTGGATGCGAGCTCGTTACGGGATAACCTTGGTGACGTTCTTCATTCATTAGTATTGAAACTCACATAGTTGCAGAGATGGGAAGCATCCCATTTCTTGTTTTTCGATTTGTCTCGGTCACATATCAGTTCTTGGAACTCCTGATGGCATCTGCTTCCATTTCTTGTTGTTCCGCTGGATCACATTTCAGCTCTTAGTACTCTAGATGGCATCTCACTAGCGCATCTGTAACATGTAGGCAAACAGGGGGCTTGGTCTTACTGCATTGATCACCGATCATTGTAAAATGACTCTCAAGTTCCCAGAAGGCACCAACAGCACTTGGGTTTGCTGCTTCTTATCATCTCGTTTGTGTTTACTCAGAGCATCATGATTCATTTAGATGTTTGAAATCCTGATTTTAGTAGTTCTTATTGCAGTACAATGCACAGTTCAAGATTTTTGAACCATTGGAGTACCATTATGATATTTGTGATACACTCATGTTGTGGGAACAGGTTGGTGCATCTTTGTGTCCCTTTCTTGTTCTATTTGGTTATTCAGCTTCATGATGTGTGCTGATGTCTTTAGAGTTGCAGTATCGGAACATGACTACTGTGCTGACACGAGAATATCTTGATACTCGCCCTGATGGGTGGTTTGATTATGCAGCAAAAAGGATATCTCAACTGTAAGATCTTAGTCCTGCCTCGTGGTTTTTCTTTTTTTCCTCTGAGATTTTGGGTTGCTTGCCTTAGAGCCAATGCGAATTCAGCTTATTTTGCTTGGTTGCTCTAATGGCAGGGGAGCTGAGAAATGCTACAACCGTAGTCTGTGTGAGGAAAACCTTAACGTGATATTACCAGCAAGGCCACCTTTCCACCCTAGGCAATTTAAAACCTGCGCTGTTGTTGGTAATTCTGGAGACCTTTTGAAGACAAAGTTTGGTAAAGAGATTGATGGTCATGATGCTGTTATAAGAGATAATGAAGCTCCTGTTACCCAGGTAAACATGAAGCAGATTTCATGTGCACTTTCCATTATAGCTTAAGGTTGGCAGGATAGCAAGTTACAGTTTTTCCCCAAGAAGAAACTACAGCTAATGTGATGAATGAGATATTGATAGGGTTCTCCCTCTACACGTATCACCATGATAGTTACTATATGTTGTGGCCTATTTCTCCATATTTTTGAAAGTTCAAAACAACCTACATCAAATGCAACTGAGCTTTTCGTGTATCATGTAGAAATATGCACCACATGTTGGACTGAAGAGGGATTTCCGCCTTGTGGTTCGTGGTGCTGCTGCTAATATGGTCAAAATTTTAGAAGGATCTGGTAATTGATTCTGTTATCCCTCAGCTTGTACTTGCTTTTCCCGGAAAATTTCCCACTGTACACATGTTTTTAAAAAAAATTCTCAAAATACACATGTTATGAAAAAAATTCCCAAACTACGCATGTTTGGGTCTTCACCGCGTCAGACTAAGGCGGTGATTGCTTCACCGCGTTAAACAAGGGCGGTGATGCAATCACCGCGTTAGAGAAAAACGGTGATTGCATCACCGCTGTAGACAAAAACGGTGATAGCTTCACCGCGTTCGACGGCCGCGGTGAAGGCCTGACCTGCGTCGAATCTTTAAAAAAACGTAACTTTGTGCTCGGTTATCCGATCGTGGTGAAATTTTTTTTGATTCCACATAGATTTTCGAGATCTTGCAAGCCGCAAACTGCCGTAGGCGGTTTGGTCCCGCCTTCGTCCCGAAAAAACGTCGTTTGCTACCTCGAACGAGCCTTTTTTCGATTTCGTCAAACTTTGAACGACCATAACTTTGTGCTCCACAATCCAAAAATCATGAATTTTTTTTTGATTTTGCATAACTTTTTGAGGACTACAATTTTTATCATAGACATAATTTCGGAATGTACTTGGATTCCTAAAAAGGAAAGGTAAACTTATTCTCAAAACCCTGTATATCCAAAATAATTCATTTTTTGAAAATTCTCTCCTACTAAAAATTGTAGTCCTCAAAAAGTTATGCAAAATCAAAAAAAATTTCATGATTTTCGGATTGTGGAGCACAAAGTTATGGTCGTTCAAAGTTTGACGAAATCGAAAAAAGGCTCGTTCGGGGTAGCAAACGACGTTTTTTCGGGACGAAGGCGGGACCAAACCGCCTACGGCAGTTTGCGGCTTGCAAGATCTCGAAAAATTATGCGGAATCAAAAAAAATTTCATCACGATCGGATAACCGAGCAAAAAGTTACGTTTTTTTAAAGATTTGACGTAGGTCAGGCCTTCACCAGGCCTTCACCGTTTTCCTCTAACGCGGTGATGCATTCACCGCGTTTCTCTACAGCGGTGATGCAATCACCGTTTTTGTCTAAGGCGGTGATGCAATCACCGTTTTCGTCTGACGCGGTGATTCAATCACCGCCTTTGTCAGACGCGGTGAAGGCCCAAACATGCGTAGATTGGGAATTTTTTTCATAACATGTGTATTTTGAGAATTTTTTTTAAAAACATGTGTACAGTGGGATTTTTTCCTGCTTTTCCCCACCTTCGTTCGGCCTTTTATTTTGCCTAGTTTGATATGTTTAACCTCATGTGTTTTTGTTGTTGTTGTTGCAGATGATGAGGTGCTTATCATTAAAAGCATGGCCCACAGGGACTTCAATGCATTGATAAAGGTTAATATGACAATCCAAATTGTAGTTTTCAGACAGTTAATGAAGCGAGCTCCCTATTTTGAGCTCAGCTACAAACACATCAAGTGTAAACCAGATTTCTCCATTTGCTATTCATTTGGATTCCTTGAAACCTAGAATGGTCTCCCACTCCCATTGTAACCATATCAACATTTTTCTATTCATTTGAAGTAGGCCTCGCCTTAATATTTCATCTCAAGAATCGCTAGAACTTTTAGGCATTGCTTGCCTGCTCTGAACTTCATTGCACACATTCCAACGTGGTTGTATTGATGTTTAATTGTGTGCATTACAGACTATTCCGAACCCTGTTTATCTCTTCCAAGGGATCGTGCTGCGCAGGGGTGCTAAAGGAACTGGGATGAAATCTATTGAACTTGCACTTTCAATGTGTGAAATTGTTGACATATACGGTTTCACGGTTGATCCTGGCTACACTGAATGGTAAGCTGAATAATCATTTACCCAATTACTTATCTGTTTGCCTGAGTATTGGATTCTGCAATTTTCTTTGCTGTCCTCTTGCTGTAAGTGTAGAACTTGAAAATTGGAGTGCATTTACCTCAGCATCAGCATATTTCCTTCTTTTACTTTGTTTTCTTTGTTGCTTATGGCAACTGCTAACTTTTGCAGGACAAGATACTTCTCTACTCCACGTAAAGGGCATAATCCACTTCAAGGACGAGCATATTACCAACTCCTAGAATGTCTTGGTGTACGACTAATTAATCCTTCTACACACTTTGTACAATTCATTTCTCCTGGGCGGCATCTTGATAGAGGTTTTGTCTTTGGTTGTGCACAGGTCATTAGAATCCACTCCCCCATGAGAGCTCAGAGGAAGCAAGACTGGTCCAATGTCCCAAGCCGAGAAATGGTATCCAGAGCACATGCAGCAGCCATGCGGTTGAAGCTTGGAGAGGAGATCGCAGGGTTAGGTCAGTTTGGAAAATGCAAGGTGTGGGGTAGTGCAGATGCTGCCAACAACGGGCCTATCTCTGGATCTCCTGACATGAGTGATGTAAGGAAATATTCGAACTACAGTAAGTGGGAGACGATGCCGTTTCAAAGTCTTAGACGAGAGGCACGGGATCATTATGCCCAGATGGAGGATGTGTCTTTGTACAAAATGGATGGCAATAAGTTGGACGATCTGGTATGCGTCAGGCACAAGTCAGCATCTTCAGTATGATTAGCAGTCTCGGCTTATCAGTTAAGTGAACTACAAGAGCCTTTTCGGTGCATGTGCGCGGAGATTGAGAAGAGAATACAAAGGATGGTTTCCAGTGTCCAGTTTTGATGTTCAATTAGCTCCAACGATGGTGATCAGCTCAACGGCTTCCATTTTCAATTTAGCTGTGTGCCGGTGTAAGCGGATATTATTTGTATGAACCTTATTGAATGAAAACTTGTGCACCTTAGGATGTTGTATTTAATGTAATCAAAGACAGCAGCAGTTAAAGATAAACAGGACAGCCAGCATGAGCACACGTTCAGAGTAGGCAGCAAAAAAATCTTTCAACTTCACCACTTTCCATTTTTACAATCAGCATTCAGCAATGCATGCAGTAGCAGGAGATCTCAATTTTTCATCAGGGTGGAGGTCAAATGCATATCAAAAGCAATATAACAGTCAGCTAACTTGTCACAAATTAGAACATGTATAGTAGAGGAATTGGATTACTGCAGTTGAAGAATCAGTTATTCATTTATCATCAATCAAGCCGCCTTGACATTCTTCTAAGACTTAACTCATCAGATTGACAGCCAATCTACCACGAACTAGCGATCAACGTTACATTTGGTTAGAGCTATCGAGGGTCTCATGTACTGAAACAAGTGTCAAGACCCTTGGTTACTTGAGATGCAGCGGCATCTTACCTGATTAACTGGGTAGTAGGACTTAACTAGTACTATACATCCTCCAAATGAGCCGCGTCGAACCGAACTTTGTCCCAGATTAAGCTTGGCTCGTTAATAATCGAGCTCGAGCTCATTTATTAACGAGCCGAGTCGAGTTCGAACTCGAGCTAGCCTTCTTTACAAAAATCTTAATTCATGTTTGATACATTCTTTTTTATGTTATGTATGATACATGTGATAGATGTCATGTTGAAAAAAAATATATAATCAAACGTTCAAAATTAACTAATCTCATGTTCTACTCTATTAGTATCAAACTATTTAGTTAATAAATATTAACTTGTCCAAATCTTGTTATTTTATAGTATTGAATCAATCTATAATACATAATTTCTTTTCATAATTAAAAGACATTTTTGCTTACATACTTAACATCTTAAACATCATATAGAGTAAAAGTGATAATGAGATGGTAATTTTAAAAAAAATTAATTTTATTAATTTTGTTAGTTTTAAATTGTCACGTCACACATTTAACGGTCAACTTTTAGAGTTGACTATCACATAAGCAAAAGTTAAAGGAGTTGGACGGAGAGTGACCAAACATAAACGGTTTCAGTAAACTGAAATACCACCAATGGATTTAAATATTTCGAGTGACCAAACTTGAACGATTTTTGTAATCTCAGTGACCAACCATGTAATTAACCTGAGTAAAATATATAGTTTAACAAACCTATGAATTGTCAAAATTCAAATCATAAGATGGAGACCGATTCTCTGATAAGTTGGTAGACAAGTTGCATCTAGCCACAATGTTAAGAAATCTTATGAGCTTTAAACGAGCCAGCTCACGAGTTTATCTCAACAAGCAACCGAATCGAGCTAGCTAGAAGCTTCGCAAGCTGAGCAAGGTGTAGCTCAAACTCAACCCGTTTATAAACGAGCTAAGCCTCAAACCACTAGCGAGATAGCTCAAACTCGACCCGTTTGTAAACGAGCTAAGCCTCAAACCACTAGCGAAATAGCTCAAACTCGACCCGTTTGTAAACGAGCTAAGCCTCAAGCCACTCGCAAAAAACTCGGCTCATTTGCAGCCCTACACTACATCTCATGCTACCTGAACAAGGATTGTGAGCCAATCACAAAGCTCTAGGGCCTAAAACCAAGGCTAAACTAAAGCTGAAGCTGTAATTATATCATACAACAACTCGCAAATCAGCATAATCCTGACGCGCTACAGATTATGAATTACCAACTCCATTTTATGAATTACCAATAAAGAAAAGGAAGGCTAGAAGCCCATATCCAAATCTCTTACAAAACTAAGACCCAAAGTGCAACAAATAACACCACCGCACCACCATGAACCCCTTCAAAAACCATACATAAGTAGAACATCCATTATAGCTATCGATCAGTCGGCCTACAACGAAGTACACCAGCAATCCATCACCATCAGTTTACCAACATTGAGCTTACCTCAGAAACTTACAACGTCCACACAAACTCCGGAGCATCTCTCCTCTGTCCGGCCAAAGTACGGTACAAATACATCTTCTCCACCTTCTGCCTATCATCATCGCATCCACCAACAAACTCCATCTGATCATTCTCATTTATAATCTCTACATTTAACCCAGGCATCCTCTTTGCTAGAGCCTTGCACCCTCCCAGCGTGACCTCACAGGACGACATCCAAAGGGATCGCATTGTCTCGTACTTAGCCACGTCCATCAGAAGTGCCGCATTACCAAAGGGACTGTCCCTTATCTCCAGCTTTCTCAGCTTCTTGCAACCCTTCAGCACGTACTGCATCCCTTTGTCGCTGTCCCCTGCAAAGGCTATCGACAGCATCTCCAGCTGCTCTGCATACATCCCAATGTAGAGAAATACTTGGTCGGTCAGAAGACCAGAAAGGGACAATCTTTTCAGACCCTTGCATGCTTGGACTATTGCACCGAAACCTTCATCGAGCGGCTGCTGGGTCACTGCATCAGGTTTCGTGGGGTCCAGGATGCAGAGCCTGAACCGGACAAAGTTAGGGCAGTTCTTGGCAACTGTTATGAGTGCAGCATTGGTCATCTGTTGGCAGAAGTAAAGTATCGAGTTGAGCTTCTGGCAGCCTCTTGAGATGGCAACCAGGCCTTCCTCTGTGACAGCTGCTTGTCCAACATAGGGATCAGATGGAAAGACACGTAACTCCTCAAGGTCTTTGCAGGTAGAAGCTACGACTTCAAGCCCTTTATCACCAATGCAATCTAGTATCTGCAATAAGAAGGCAGGAAAGATAATCATTTAGAAGAGATATACTAAAATGCCAATAACTTTAAGATCATCTGCATCCCCAGACTGCCATGCCAAAAAATTCAGCAATTACTTCATTCAACAATTTCAAGCCAGTTACATCCCCGCAAGTGGATTGAAATTCCAATCCATCATCTAGAGAGAAAAAGCAGTACACAAGAAAGTCAAAAACTTTAAAGATATAAAATAAAATAAAAAGCGATACCCATAAGCGCTGGAGCTTGTGGCAGTGACGAATGAGCTTTATGAGCTCGTTATCATAAATTCCTGGGGCATAGCTCAAGTTCAAGGAGGTCAAGTTAGGGCAGATAACGTGGAAAGCGGACAGGCAATGGGGAGCAACATCCAGAAACCCAGACAGACTCCTAACAGATTTACACTTCTGAATGGCGGTTACAAGTTTATAGTAGTTCTCGGAATCTGGATCATGAAGATAAGAGCCGACTCCCAAATCCAACAATTGGGGCGCTCGAATCAGTATCCTCTGAAGTACATCAAGAGGTACTGCACGGCTCAACCTCAAGCTCTTCAAATTGGGGGATCTCGCTACGAGCCTTTCGAGAGCAGGCAAATTAATATCTCCTTTGAGGCACGCAAAATTGAGTGAGACAAGAGATGTGCTGCTTTCAGGGAAGCAGCTGAGCCAATGCCCTCTGTGATCCTCGACATCATTTTCTTGCAAGTCCAGCTCCTTCAGTTGCCTGGGTTTTGACAACAAAATGAAAAACATAGCAGTCACAATACAGCTTACAATTTTTAGTTACTACGCACTCAATCTACAACCAAAGACGCATCAGACAAGTTCTGCTCTTTTTCAATTCCTATCAACTTGAAACCAAATCAGTTCATAAAAAATAACTCATTTTCGGCACTCCCCACATCAAGTTTGTCAAAAGGAATAGCAAACAACATAAGCCAGCAATTAAGGGATTAAAAAAGTGAAAGCTTTCTCAAATGGAGGCCATGAATCACAATGAGCATCGCCAAACTAGATCCATCCATTCATTAGCCATCAACACAACACCAGAAGAAACAAAATAGTACCCAAGCTGAGCTATGTTCCCAGTCAACCTTACTTTCCAAAAGCAGGCTTCTTTGCTAGATTGGAAGCAAACTGAGAACAGAACTGCCCTGCTTGAACTGACATTCTCACCAATTGCCACAATTTGGAAAAAAAAATCTCACCAAAAATAGCAATCCCAGGAACTCCTTCTTAGTTCAGCAAAAATACTCTAGCTAGATTGCATCAAGAATGAATAAGAAGAGACAAAATCAGAGAGAGGAGAGGGAGAGAGAAAAGTTCAAATCTTTCCGTTATCTTACCTACAATAAGCAGCAACAGCTGCTAGCCCATCAGTTGTGAACCCTTCACAGCTCACCAGAACCAAAGACTTGAAATTAGGGAAAGACCTAGACAGTAACTCCAAGCTTTCATCAGAAACAACCATCCTTTTCAGCCGGAGTTCCTCCAGCCCGACCCGGCTCCTAGCGAAAGCCTCGATCCATGGGTAAACGAAGCCTCCCCAGTCCGGAGGGACAAGATTGAAGTCAGCGAAATGAGGCTTCCCCTTGAGGGTAATCGATTTCAGCCCCGAGAATCTCTCCGCGACCCTCTCCGGCCCAATCGCATAACAGTTCCCGACGAACACCTTCTGCCGGCTGTAACTCTCGATCCTATACCACAATTTACAAACCTGGGACACCGAGTTCCTGTCTTTGTGGGAACCCACGAAATCGAAGATGTGCTCCAACACCTCGTCCGGGAAGTAATTCATCCTCTCTCTCGCCCTATCCTCTCCTTCCGACGGGCATCGAATCCGGACCCGACCCAGATCTAGATTTCAGCTCGAAAGAGAAACAGATCTGATAAGAAGGGGTGGGGAAGCTGGAATTAGCGAAGTGAGGGGATGGATGGAGTTGCGAAAGTCGAAAATCTTTTACTCGGGGGAAAGGGGAATCTTTTCTGCGAAATGGATGGATGATAATTGACTGAATCAGAGAGTGATTATTAGTACAACAAAAAAGGGCGTAAAAAGGGAGGAATTTTTTTCTCCTATCTTTTGGTTTTGGTTGGAGGAAGGGTAAGCAGAGAGTCGAATAGAAATGGGATCTGGGAATCAAGGAGACGACGCCATTAAAGGTGGTGGGGGGCAAGGGAAATCTAGCGAGCTAGCCATGGATGAACGAATCGAGAGGAAGGAAGGTTGGAAGGAAGAAGGGAAGAGTCCAAAGAGAGACCCTCTCTCAAAGGAGATTAGATTCGCCCCAAGACACTCATATTATTTTTCCTCTTTTTCTCGGTCCTGAATTTCTCTTCTTTTTTTTTTGGCAAAATACACTTGGATAGCCATAAATTTACACTTTGTGACAATAATAGCCAAATTTTGAAAAATACACAAATATAGCCACACTTTCGAAACTTGTTTGACAAATTTAGCCATTTTCGTTAAAAACTTTAACACCGTTAGTTACTCCGTTAGTAATATAGACTTTACGCTGATGTGGATGCCACCTGGATAACCCGTCATCTCCAACTAGACATGTAGTGCTCACTTAGATGCCACGTCATATTTTAAATTAAAAAAATAATTGAGAAAAATAAAAACACTAATTTCAACTTTCTCAAAAGCCTCTGTGTCCTTTCTCAAACACACAGAACCCTTCCATCTCTCTGTGTTCGTCGATGGTGCAATTAGGAGAAGAAGAACATGAGAGCTTTTGAATTCATCAATGGAGATGAACTCCACAAATCCCGTCAAGCTTATTCCCCTCAAACACCTTCTTCAACAACCCTTCCCATCCATGAAATTGACCATTAATCCCAGCTGTTCGATCCTCACCCCTTCCACCAAACTTACGGTCGTCGCTCTTCCTGAATCCCCGACCTATCCTTCTCGATCGTCGAAGCTGTCGCCGCTCTCCACAACCTCATTCTCTCCCGTCTCTTCCTCCTCTCCAACTCCCCATCCCCACCGCTGATACGGCTGCAACATCATCACCTCCGAAGATCAATTCAGCCCACTTCAAACAACATAGAAACCCTTCAGTTTCGAATCCAACATTCAATCAGGCAAGAAAGCAAAACTTGAAAAAGTCCCAATTTTGATGCAGATCTGATACAGGGTAGCGGCGGCCCAGAGGACTAGGACGGTCTCAATCTCTCCGGCAAGCTCTGGATTCCTCAGTGAAGGAGATTGGAAGAGGCGGTGGCAGATCTGGAGACGATAGGCAGATACAGACCCCACACCTCTATGACCACGACCGGATATGAAAATAGATGTCGGAGTCAGCCGAGCCTTGGCGGTGGTTGGGTTTCGATCAACAAGGATCCCTCGTGCTTGATGTTGATGATGGCATTGAAAAGGTGTTTTTCCTATGATTTTCACGCCAACGTCTCGACGATCGACGCTGCCGAGTCACTCTTGTTCTCTCCGATCTGTTTCACTCAGATCTGAATGACGAACAGAGGGAGAAGGGTGGATGAAGCAGCAACGCCGATACCAACAAGTCGAGGAAACGAACAAGATGAATACGCTAGAAGAGGAAGAAGAAAAGGAGGAGCACCAAACGTCGGAGAGAGAGATGGGTCGGTGGAGGGGTTCGTCGTGAAGGAGATGCGTTGAGGGGGAGATGCAACTTTTGCTTTTTTTGTTTTATTTATTTACTTTATTTTTTTGGAGTATTTGAGTATTTCCACCTGGCATGACTTTCGAAGAAAATCACCATGTCAACGTTAGTCCAGTCAGCATCAATGATAATTCTGTTAAACTTTTGACGAAATGGCTATTTTAGTGTATTTTTTAAAATTTGGCTATTATTGTCATAAAGTCGAAAATTCTGGCTATACAGGTGTATTAAGCCTTTTTTTTCCCCCTCTCTTCTTCACACAGTGTCCCCTCCCTTGCTAAGTTGGCGGTAATGGTGGTGTCAGGGGGGAAAAAATGACATCCGCTGAGACAAGTATTTACGTGAGGTGCCACCTTTGAAGATAAGATTTTTTGGCCCTTTCCCTCCTTTTCTTTTTCTTTTAATCTTACCCGCGGGATGGACGCGCGTGTCATGCCACTCGCTGCCTCAATCTTCGACAACCCCATGTGGGCTTTTGGCCTTTGAGTTTGAGAGAGAGGGGCCGCCTCTTTTCTTTTCAGCACTGTGATACGCTGTCGTTTGACACGCTAGCCCTTGCCACTAGTGAATTTTCTCCGTTTAATCCTCGTACAATTTACAATGAAGAATTGGTACATTATCTTTGATTTTTTACGTATTTTCCGGTGAAGTTTTAAATAACACGAATATAATAGTGTTATTATGCTAAAAAAAATTCACTATCAGTATCATCCAGACGGTCTATATTAGGATGATAACAAAATATACTATGTAAATATGTCATGAAGATTTAACTAACTTATATAGACGGTTTAATTTATGATTATACTCAATCTGAACTAAACACATTACGAAAATTTCATTACAAATCATATTATTTTCTCATGATCCTATCATCCGACTATCTGGTAGATAATTAGGGGATTTGTATGAGCCTTAAATGTATTAATTTAAATATATGTTGACACGTTAATATAGACTATTCTAATAAAAATGACTTGATTGACACGAACATAATGATTTTATGCATGTTGTTGCTAATGATATTAACAAATTCATTACAAAAATCAAAGTTGAGTTACTGGTTTGTTAGTAAACCCACTATATGGTCACAGTTAGGTAATTGATCCGTTAGTACTGTAGGACAGTATTGTACTACTGTGTACTGTGTAGCACTGTTAACAACTATGGGCTTTCATCTTCTTCTTTTTCTTTTGTTTTTGCTTGCTTGGAAGGAGATGCTATATTAACTCTTTTCTACTTATATTTATGTGGTAGATGTGGATAAACACATAAATATACTAATGATGACACTGTTGCATGTATGATTGCACTAGTGGGGAAAAGGGGGGAAATGAAAGAGAAGCATCAATTCTCATAAATTCTAATAAGTGAAAGTAAGAGGTTAATCATTGGTTAATTTAATTTAATTTTTACATTTACTTGATATATTCAAAAATATCTTTTTATGTAATTTTGATTGTGATGGAGCATATATTAAGTTTGATTTATCATTTATATATGACTATCCTTGTAGAATTACAATTATTACAATTATTACAATTTTTCCAACCATTCTGATATATTACGTGTATATTGAATGAAGGGTAACTTGTTAATATAATATACTATTTTAAGATGAAAGTACTACTTAAATGGATTATAGGATGAAATCCATATTAGTCATACATGATTTGTGGGGGTTGACTAAGTGGATAATAGAAAGTAAAAACCAATAAGTAGTATAGGTAGGTGGAGGGGAGAGGCTTGATTATTGTTTCCCAATTTCCTTCCTATTCTTTTTCTTAGGGCTGAAAATTTGCTTGTCCCGTCCTGACCCTATCTGATCCGTTCCTGAAGGGTCAAGATGTAAAACTGACCCGTCTCGTCCCTGTCTCCTTCTTGACCCTGTCTGACCCTCAAGGGTTGGGACAGGACGAGACGGTCCGGGACAGTGGGTCGACCCTAATCAACACACTATTTTTTTATTTTTACAAGTTAGTACCTAAATTTTGAAAACTTTACGAAAATGTCCAATATGGTGTGAGATATTTGTTGTTGATAAGGGTCACAGGGTCAAAACGTGATTCGTCCCTAAGTTGTCCCGACCCTTACAGGGTCAACAAATGACCCATCCTTAATCTGACCCTGTAGACAAACTGACCCGTCCCGACCCTTAGAGACAGGACGGGTCAATGAGTGTTCCAGGTCAAGCTTTCACCCCCTACCTTTTCTTCTTCTTCTATTTTTTACATTTTTGGCACCACGAAAAGCTGACCAAACAACAAAAATAAGGTAGAAAAAGGAAGAGGGTAAAAGGTAAAGGCAGTCTATCTACTTTTTAGTATGCATGTTTTTCCGGAAAAAATCCCACTGTACACACGTTCTTAAAAAAAATTCCCAAAATACCTAAGTTATAAAAAAATTTCTCAAAGTACACATGTTTGGCATTCACCGTTTTTGACAAACGCAGTGAAGGCTATCACTGCGTTTGACAAAAACGGTGAATATTTCACCGTTTACAAAAAAACGGTGAAGTATTCACCGCGTTCATCTAAAACGGTGATGTATTCACCGCGTTTGATTAGAACGGTGAATACATCACCGTTTTAGTTAAAAACGGTGAATACATTCACCGTTGTAGGGTAACGCGGTGATCTTTTCCCACGTTTCCCACCCCCGGTAGGTCAAAATTAGGTCACAGCTACCTATTATTCACCGTTTGAGACAAACGCGGTGATGGTGTTCACCGTTTTCGACAAAAACGGTAAATAGTTGGCAGATTTGGTTATAAATACCACACCACGGGAACAAGTGATTCCTACAAAAAAAATAGGAAAAACATCAATTTATTAGATTAAATAAAGCAAAATAAAACCTTAGAAAATAATAAAATAAAGCAAATAAATCATCAAATTACCGGATTGTTATCCCAAATAGCATGGGAGCGATGAGCTTCTTGATCGGTTAAGAGTCTCACTCCCTTGGGCCATAATGGATATACAATCGAGGATCGTATATCTCGGCACCCATCTATAAAAAAGTAATAAAATCAGAGATTGTTTGATAAAAAAACACAAAATCAAATTGTTTCGATTAAAAAAAAATCAAAAAAATAAACCAAAAACCTACACGAAGAGCCTCTTCGTCCATTTTTTGGTGGAAGCCG